ATACGACACTGTTGCCATGCCTGCCCTGACCTCAGCCACAGTACGCGGTACACTGTGCCCACGACGCCGGCCTGTACGACCCGAAGGCAGCGGGGCCGCCTGTCAGTGGGTGGGCCAAAGCCGGCCTGGGCAACCCGAAGACGGGCCCGTGGGAGTCGGCCTCCCTGGAGTCGGCCGACTCCTCCCGGGCCCCACGAGCCATTAATCAGATAAGATGGGGAATGGCGACAGTGATCGCCCGATAGACGGCGGCACTGTTGCCACGACCCGATGATCAAGCCTGCGTCATCAGGAGTGCCGCTACAATATCAAGCCTGTTCGCGGGACCCGCCAGTCGGCGGGCCCCAAAAGCCGGCGGGAAGGACGGCGGCCTGAGAGACAGACGGCTGGGACCCGCGCCCAGCCGGATTACTATTGTACCCCCGGGGGTAGACCTATATAAACCCCCCGGAGCACCCATGCAAAGGGTTCGGACCCAGAGAGAGAGATAGACCAGATAGCCCAGGAAGGAGAGAGCTAGCCTCGCCCTCTCCTACCTCCCGAAACAGCTCCAGGAGCACCATTGTAGTCACTTTGCTTTAGTGATCATGCGGAGACCCCGCAGAGCAGCAGTAGGGGTGTTATCTCCTAGAAGAGCCCTGAAGCTGGGTAAGTTCCGCCGGCGTGCATGTCTTCGCCTCATCCTGCTTCATGGCACCGACGACGTTCTACTCGCTCCCACCATGATAAGCCATCCTTTGGCATATGTCGTACCCAACCCCCGACATTTCTCAACTAGTACTATGCAAAATATGAGATGCAAGTAGACAAGCAGGTGACATTTTACCTCAACCCAAGTTTCTATACCAAAATTGGCAATCAGCAGCCCCACAAGCCATGGTTCCGCGTGTAGGGATTAAAGCTGCAGAACAGAAAACACAGAATCATGTAAGGACAGAAACGCATTCTGCTGAATGTTTAAGTGGTGATCCTTGCATCAAGCAAGAGCCTTCTACAACGACTAACAAACGTGCAAGGGCAATTTTACAGAAGGATCAGCACTTGTGGAAAAATAGACATTATACAATAACAGCAGCTTTCTATTGGATTTCTCCGAACCACACAGACACAAATCAATATGCACAAATGTTGGACCTTCAGATAAGCAGACTTGAATTCAATAGTAAATATTAGCAAAACTATTTTTTTTGTGTGTGTGATATCATTATCACATCAATTCACAACTCTCTATCATTACCAATCCCACTACAGATTACATCCCTTCTCAATTCCTACAGATAAATTAGCATCCAAACTCAATCAGTATCTTTGTATTCACCACGTAATCCAAATGAACCGCCAAATCCAAGCATGGTCACCACAACTGGTGTGAGGTTATGGCACTGCAATTGGTGGCTCAGCTATTGTGAGGTTGTGAAATGTTTTTCTCTGTTGTACACTAGAACCTAAGCAGAAGTTCTTCAGACCAAATCAAGTTGGCTTGAGATTTCATAAAAGTATGAATCACTGCCCTGAATTACTAGATATAAAAATGTACAGCCCTGGTACGCAAGAGTAAAGAAACACACCCCTGACCACCAAATTGTCCTCCCAGAGATAATCAACGGACAAAGGAACCAGATTTCGCTGGGAGATCTATAAACATTCCGACCCTAAACCACGCATCCACGCCAGCAAATCAAATCCCCGCAGCACCAAACCCTAGCTCTGGAATGCGAGGCCAAGGGACAGAGGACTCACATGTGTACCCGCCCATGCTGGCCCGGGAGTCGGCGGCGACGATGACGCCTTGTCGGAGATGAAGGAGAGCGTGGTCGTCCCCTTCTTGTTGTTCGCCATCTCCTTGGTCGCCTGCTGGAACCCATCGAACTGCCACCGGGAAACGAAAAAGGGGCGCAAACGGATCAGAGGCCGGCGGAGAGAAAAGGGGATTGAGGGAGGGGAAGGCTCACGCACGTGGTTGCAGGTGGGGAACTCGAGGGCGAGCTGGTCGGCGGAGAAGAGGCCGCCGAAGTCGTCGCTGCCGGCCGCGGCGGCGCCGAAGTGGTTCTTTAGGGCGGAGCGGTTGGGAATTCGAGGGCGAGCTGGTCGTCGGTGTCGGCGGAGAAGAGGCCGCCGAAGTCTTCGCTGCCGGCCGCGGCGGTGCCGAAGTGGTTCTCGAGGGCGCAGACCGGAGAGGTTGGGAATCATCGCGTCGACGGCGTAGATGTGTAGCGGCGGAGGTGGCGATCAATTGAGATTTTTTCTCTTTTCCTCCTCGCGTCGGCAGGCCTTGTCTCGCACGAGAGGGCCCTGCTTATGGGGGGATTGGCCGGCCCAGAAGCGGGAGGTGGTGGTGGTTCTCGCTCCCAGCAGAGCTAATACATTCCCTCAAAA